GTGAGGGGCTTGGAACACAAGCCCTATGAGGAACGACTGAGGGACCTGGGGTTGTTTAGCCGGGAGAAAAGAAGACTCAGAGGTGACCTTATGGCTCTCTACAACTTCCTGAAAGGTGGTTGTAGTCAGGTGGGGGTCGGTCTCTTTCTCCAGGCAACAAATGTCATGAACGAGAGGACACAGTCTCAAGCTGCGACAGGGGAAATATCGGTTGGATATTTGGAAGAAGCTTTTCACAGAAAGAGTGATACAATATTGGAATGGCCTGCCTGGGGAGGTGGTGGAGTCACCATCCCCGGATGTGTTCAATAAAAGACTGGATATGGCACTTGGTGCCGTGGTTTAGTTAAGGCGTTTGGGGCATGGGTTGGACTTGATGATCTTGAAGGTCTCTTCCAACCTAGTGATTCTGTGATTCTGTAAGCATGGTGTAGACAGTGCAAGCCGAATAGAGAAAACTTAGCAGAACTAACAAGAAGATCATGCTGTCCTTAACATCTAGAGGGAACTCAACATTCTCAAAAACTGTTGCAGCAGGCCTGAAGGGCTGGAAAAAAACATTCTCCCCTCCTCACCCCACAGGCTTGATGCCTTATAGTTTTCAAATCCTGTACTGCATTAGTGCATAACTCTGAACTCCATATAAAGTGTTAGCTAACTGTCTCCACATTTTAGTCAGACAAAACAATCCCTCTAGGTCTGAGATCCAAGGACACCCTACTGCCTCAGGCCCCGGAAAGTATAAACAAAAGTGAATTGGGGGAGGGGAGCAAACTGGGGGCATATGACTTCACTGCCTGAGGCTGTAATTGGAGGAATAACCCCTGACATGTAAATGGACCAAACTTATATCTGTCTGAAAAACGCGTGACCATCGTCCATCTTGGGTGTAGCCTCTGAGGCTTCTGACTGCCCAAGGTGTACCTTTTGAAGGCCTTTAATAAATACCTACGTTTATTCTCTTAACCCTGTCTAGCCTCTGTTCCAGGTAGCCACTCTAAGGCATCAGGCTGGGTGCCATTATTAATGAGGCCCCAGAGGTAGCAGCCCAGACTAGGAAAGGCAAACAAGACTGAATACACATTCCAAATGAAACTCGTTGCCTCTGCTGTTATCATGCCATAAACGCAGTAAATCAGCAAAGCTGTTTTGATTCCTCTCCTGATCGTAAAGAGAGCATCATGATGGGCAAATACCTCCCCCTATGCAGAAATATGTACAGGGCACAACATGCACGTGAATACACCGAGAAACACGACGATCAGGAAAATTGCTATACCCCAATACACAAATGCTTTAGAACAAAACTGCAATTCCGACCTCTCTCGAGCCGCACGTTGGGCGCCAAAAGATGTGCCGGTTTAAAAGTAAACCGGCAGGAGAAATGAATCCCATTCAACTACCTCCAGAGAGATTACAGGTCGGAGTTACAATTTACTAGAGATTACAAAAAATACAATGATACAGAGAAAACTGGTTTTAACCCACAAAGTCGGAGTATAAATTGGCACACTCTTTGTAAGGTGAGGGGCACAGTACTGTTGAAATTCTGGTCTTCCTCCGGATCCATCAAATGGTGGTGCACCAAGTCCCCAAACCCAAAGATTATATATATATATGCTCCGGTTCAGGTGAGAATGCTCAGTACCTCCACCAGGACAGGGAGTTTCACAGTGGAGGAATGTAATACTGTGAGTCATGGGATATTCTGGGAGTCTTTGATGGTCTAAGTCCTTGCAGCTGCCTATTATCCTAGTGCCATGGAGTCCATTATGGCCCGTTAGCAAAGATGACACCACCCCTCCCCCACCACGGGGTGGGTGGGAATGTGCTGGTGCTTCCCCAGAGGAGAGTTATCAGGACTGAGTCATTTGCGTGAAGAAAAAAAACACTACCTTGCCTCTGAAGGTTTGCCTCTTCTCCCTTATCTCATTTAACACCCATCTTGTAGCCTGAGGTGTTGGGTGTACAGGAGGCAGCTACGGCAAGTGATCCATCATCAGCAGTTCATCAGGAATGACACAGAGGCTGGTACAATACAGTTTGCTTACATGCACATAGTGCTAAACTGGCACCCTACTCCTGTTACCAGGACACCCAGGTCCAACAGGTGGTGGATGCTTCCAACACAGTGCACCATGGTGAAACCACCCTTGGAAAGCATGCGTGTAGCCTCACACGCAGCATCTTCTACAGTTTTAGCAGAAGCCTACACGGCCTTTCTGTACGTTGGCGTACCACTGCCAAAGAGCTAAGACTTTGCTTCCTACAAGACCCAGAGAGACTGCTAAGCGCTTCCAGCTTCACACAAACAGGCCAATCACTATCTATCTATCTATCTATCTATCTCTGAAATGCTGTTATCTGGCTGAAACATTCCACATACTTGCAATTCCAGGGAGACACCTTCTGAACTTGCAGAACTACTTCCCCTCAGTAAGATGCGCAAGACGGAGGTGATATCCCCATGACAAATCTTTATTGTGCAACTGCTGCTCAAAGCTTTTATTACCTTCCACAGACACAAGGCAAAAAAAAAAAAAAAACATTACACATCAAAAGCCGCTAGATTGATGGGCAACAGACGAAATCCATTCAGTGGTGATTTGTACGCGTGCAGCAACTCCTGCGGTGCCAAAATCTTAGCCAGGTGGCCAGCCCACCTGATGGCCACCCAGAACGGGTAGATGTATGCGACAGACAGACTGCCCACCCTCGGGCCCTTCATCCACAACCATCCGGAATCCATTGGTCAGGCCCAGGTGAGCAACACACATCTCGCCAACAACCATTACATGCCCAAGAAGCTGGAGAAGGAAGTACAAACCCATAAATAAGTAAAATAAACAGAAAAAGGAACACATAAAGAGGGCAGAGGGCAGGAAGGGAAGGAACGAGAGCAGAGAACCACCCAGAGAAAGCAGCTAGCCAATTCCTAGCAATTCAACCATTGCATGCCAAATTAACGGCACTCCGACCGCCGGCAACTGAAGCGTTCCAAGCAAAGTTACCAAGACCAATTATGCACGCCATAGGGGCAAAAGAGAGCTAGGCAATTTTTCCCAAGCTAAACAGCAAAGGACTACAAAACAGCCACACGAGCTGACTTTGTCTCCGGGTTAAAGCCCCCGTTGTCTCTTCAGGAAACATAACCAATCCTGGTGGAAAATAAACTTTAGGCTGCCTTTTGCGTGGGTTTACAAAGTCTTTGAACGTGGCTTTCATAGCTAAAAGCAAAACGCCCAGCACCGCTCCACCAGCTTTGCCCTTCCTTGCCCCTGGCCTGCCAAAAACCCCAAGTGCTCTTCTGCATGTTAGAAGTTCTACTACTCTTACTCTAAACCACGACAATAGGCACCACACTGCGCTCCAAAACAACACTGCATTTTGCACCAGAACTACATACCCAGGGACCAGCACTGCTTGATAGCACTGCTTTTAGTCAAAAAGCTCAACTCCATTACAAGCTAGAGGCAAAAACATGATAGCGCCAGAAAACCCAAAGTAGCCTACTGTGCCCTATCAAGGGGGAAAGGGGGCAATGGGAAAGAGTCTAGTAAACGAGGAACTATCTACAGGTACAGTTTAGCATACAGAAAGCTCCCACCGTACTTACAGATTCACCAGAACCTCCTGCTTCAGACAACTCGATAATTGGCTCCTTAGGCATGACTTAGGAAAAATGTCCTGTCTAGGGGCAAAAGATCATGGAACGTACGGCACTGGAGGAAGATTAAACAGTTAAAACATAACCAGCTTTAGAGAAAGGTAAGAGCTTATGCAAACCCATCTGCCCCGCTGAACTCCTACAGAAGCAGATTACCAGATTACCCCAAACACAAGCCAGAACATTGATTTTTCTTGCATGATTATAATGCTTTCTATACCCAAAACACGACATCTTTACAGAGCCCCCTCCAGAAGTGGGATTTGTCATGCAAGACAATGGGGGAAGGAGACAGACCACTACTTGCAATGAACAACCTCCGGCATGTTTTAGTTCGGGCTGATTGTTTCCTAAGCAGTTTTTCTATTGGATGTGGTCCATGCAGAGACTGGAGACAAATGGCTTAACTGAATCATCAAAGAGTTTAGTGAAGTGGAAGAGCAGCGGCCATTCGTTTCCCACAGGACAGGGAGCTCAAGTATGGAACACACGCATAATGACAGGAAGCCTGCAAGTGCATAGGACGAGTCTGTCTTCTATTACTGCATGCAAGCTCTGCCTTTAAAAGCAGAAGGCATCCCTAACTGTTAACTTTCAGCATCTTAATAACTAAGTCATAGGGGATATTACCTTAAAGTTAACATCGCATAGGCAACGGCTGTTATTGGTTTCCCCCCGGGCTAAGCAGCTCACTCTAGTTTCCAGCACCAACACGCGTGACCCTTGCAAGCATGCTGTTATCACGGTCTTACTTCCCCACAGAAACAAGTTCTGGAAAGCCGTTGCAGCCTGCAGGATGACCACTCTGTAGTTTGGTTTGGTTTGGTTTTGTTTTTAACTAGAGAAAGCCGTAATTCCTTGCCCTAATAATCCAGTTTGCGGGTTCAGAACCAAAGCCTAGCACAGCGAAGCTGCGAAACCTCTTCGATGCTGTTAGGAGACACATTGAGGCCAAGTTACCGTCAGAGGTCCCTCTCTACGCGCGCACACGACACGGTGGGGGTGGAATATGCGAGGCGAGACCGGACAACACCAGCAACCCAGTACGCCCGCGGCAGCCGGAGGGGTGGGGGTGCGGCTCAGAACAAGCTTAGGGGATGGTGCAGTAGAGAGCGCCACAACCCAGAGAGGCCCCGTCCGTCCCCCGTCCCTGCACCCAGCCGCAGCAGCACCCTGCCGCGCGCCCGGGCACCGCGCGCCGGGTCCTCGGCTCAGATGCCCGCAAGCGCGGGAGGAGGGGGAGAGGGGGGAAAGGGAAGAGGAACCGCGCACAGAGCAAGGGTGCGGCTACCTCCTCGTCCTCGGCGCTGACGGCACCAGAGAAACGCCTTACCGATAATCTTTCCGAAGACAGTAGTGGCGCCACCAGGGCCAGAGACCAGCGCCCCCACACTCTCGCCAGCCAAGGACAACGCCCGTGTCCGCCCCGACCACTTCCTCCACTAAGCCGGGCCCTCCGCGGCGCCCATTGGGCCGACGGATCGTGGCCCGCGTCTCGATTTGCTGTCTCGCCTGTCGTTTTCGCTTTTCCCCGCCCCCGTGGCGGGTCCGCCCTCGTCGACCTGGTGCCCGCGGGGCGCGGAGGGATCTGCCCCGTGTAGTGCTGCGACCCCGAGGGCGGGCTACGAGGTCGCAGAAGAGGCTGTAGTAGCTACAAGTACTGTTTCTTGTTTTTTGTTACCGCATCGAGTCCACCCCAAAGGTGCCCGTGCCTTTTTGCTGCTGCTCCTTCCAGTCCAACGACTGCTTTGGCCAGGGCAGGCCTGCCTTTAACTTCTCAGGACATTTTGAAAAAACAACCGAAGTTGCTCTACATTGTTTGCTGAAAGCCCCACTTCCATTGCAGACATTTCTAAGCTGCACGTCTCCTGGAAGCAAATAAAATGCAAAGCGTGCGTTCGGCACTGCTGGCTTGAGGGCTCAGGAGAGTAGGATTTGCGTTAAGCTGGATAGGAGGCTTTTAGAAAAGTAGGCAGTGCCCTCAAAGCTGCCCAAGGGTGGTCTGTGGTGCCCTGCATCCCTGGGGACAGTGAGCACCTTGAATGGTCCACACAACTGTCTTGTAACATATATGAACCCTGCTTTCCTCTATAACAGGCTAAGGATATCCTTGGCCGCCTTTGAGGCAAGAGCACATTGTCCTATTTTGCAAAGCTGCTTTCCAGCCAATCGGCCTCCAGCATGTACTGGTGCATGGGGTTGTGCCTCCCCAGGTGCAGGACTTGTGTATCCACAGGTTCCTCGGGTGGTCTCAAAAGAGACCATCGTTTCCTATGATGGAAGGGACTTTGTTCCCCAAGTCCCTGCCTTGAGGTTCAGGGTCTCAAGAGGTCTGGTAACCGTGCCAGTGAAAACAGAGGAAAATGAATCGCCAAGTACCACAGCCTTCTCCATGTTGCTGGCCACTAGACCTCCTGGCTTTTTTATCAGCGGGGGGACGGGCACGTGGGTTGCATACGCTTTCTTTAGTCTTATTTTCTGACCAACGCACCCATGGAAGCCCATCGTATGATTCTTTACATCCCCTGCCAAATTCAGCTGCAGCTTTGCCTTAGTTTTTCTGATGCCATCCCTACAGACCTGGGCGGCATCTTTAGATTCTTCCCAGAATACGTGTCCCTGCTTCCACTACCTATGCATTTCCACTTTGTGCTTCAGCTCGAGCAGAAGAGAAGGCCGTTAGCCACGCTCATCTCCTGCCTAACTTGCCTGATTTCTTACGTCGACCTCATCCTCTTAATCAGGTGGCCTATAGTAGATACCAACCACAAGGTTTCCTTTGTTAGCTTGTGTGGGATGATGACCATGGAGCCAGGAAAGCGTTAAAGCCTAAACCGTGTACCCTCCACGTTATCTTTACTGATGGACATCCACATAGCTGAGGTCAAAAAAGGACAATATGGCCGAAGGAAGAGTTCATGGGCAGCTAGGATAGCCCTCTTTTGGCTCTGATGAACGGCATGAAATGGAAAGAAGTCTTAAGAGCGGAACTTTGAAGGACACCAAGGCCAAAAATGTAACCTTTGCCTGATTAAGGGTCATTTAAGTATTAAAACGCACACTCGTGCATATGCTAATAAGCTTACTGAAGTACATGTGACCACATAGATGATCTATCACTCAGCTCTCCGCTTAGATCACGCTATATGTAATGTAAGGAGGAGAAGATTGGGCTGTATATAAGGAGGCTAGAAATTTCAGCTAGGTAGCAGGAATTCCCAAAAGATGTCGGGGACAGTTGCCAGTCTCTTCTCTTCTCTTCTCCTCCTCCCAAGTGGGGCCGCCCTCTTGGGAAGCTTCTGCATGCCATTGCTATTATTAGTATTGCATGGGTTAGCACAATGTTATTAGAGGTCTATCACAGCTAGTGCATTTCTCAATGGCAGTTCCAAATCTCCATTTCTGTAACTTCAGAAAACCACTCTGTTCCTGAATCTGTGCTCGCAAAGGTTCTTAGAGAACGCAACCAGACTTACAGTGCTGAATTGGTTGTAATCGGAAATTAAGCCTAACCTCACCCAGTCCCTCTGATCTCTCAGGACCAGCTGGAACGCAAGGGGCTTTATTTTCTGCACTCTTTCTTACTCCTAACGCAACAGCTTGGCCTCTAATTTTCACCCATAAGCTCTCAACCTGTTCATCACTGTCTTTCAAAGACAGCTCTGTACAGGAAATCCCTCTCATTTTTGGTTTACATAGAGGGCCACCTCCGCCCCTCCTTCCTTCTGACCAGTTTATAGCCATTGATTGCAGAGCTCCAGTCATTTGAGTTGTCCCAGCACATTTCTACTATGGTGATTACATTGTTAGCTTTCCGGCTGCACAGTGGTTTCCAGCTCCTCTTTCTCATGCATACTGCGTGCATTGGTACAGAGGCACTTCCGCTGGGCTGTTGACTGCGTCACTTTTTTGGACAAGGATCAAGCCCCAATTCCTTTGCAGCATTTCTCAAGTATTCCCCTCTTGTTTCCCAACACATCACCAGCCCCTGGCTCTTCTCTGTTGCTCAAAACTCCATCGTCTTTCCCCGCCGAGTCACCTTTAAAGCCCTCCTTGTAAGTCTAACCGGCTTACTGGCAAAGACCATCTTGCCCCGCTTGGTCGCGTGAATCCCATCAGCTCCCAACAGACCTGGCTTCTTAAAGGTAGATCCATGATCATAGAAGCCAAAACCTTGAGTATGGCACCAGCTACGCAGCCCGGCATTCAGCTGTTCAGTCTGTCTCCTCCTTCCTGGACCCCTTCCTCAGACCGGACACCAATAGAGGCGACCATCACCTGTGCTCCCCATCCTTTTAGCATCGCTCCTACAGACATAATAGACTCCTGGGGGGGTTCTAAGTTGCCTTATCTGACGCTACAGAGAAGAGTAGGAGAGGTGATAATCTGTAGGGTTCACCAGCCTCAGCAGCCTCTCAGTGCCACCATGAATGCGAGCTCCTGGTAGGCAGCAGAGCTCTCTAGAGAAATCGTCTGGGTGGGAAATGGGTGTCTCGGTGTTTCTCGGGAGGAAATCTCCAGTTACTAATACCTTTATGTGCTTCTCTGGTCGCACTGGTTCTAACGTGGGCAGGTGGTTAGGTCAGCTTTGCATGGTTGCCTTTGTCCTGGCTCCTGTCCATTACTCATGTGCTCTTCAGTCTCCAAACCAGGAGCATACTGTCTGTTATGTAGGGGCACTTCAGGAGATGGGGGAGGGTTCTTCCTTCTACCCTGAGCACAGAAATGCATCCGGTCTCCTTCATCTCAGGAGTCACTTGTGTCAGTCACCCCGAGGTTACATTCTGGCTTACCTTCCTTTTGTGCACTCTGAAGGCAGGCCGTCGCTCAGCCTGGGACAGCGTACAATACCTGGCATTGAACTCTCTGTCCGTGTACCTGGATTCCCTGCTTCCTGTCAATCTCCTCCTTTAAAACTTACTCGTCCAAGGAGATCTTTCTGCTGGGCACACTTGCAGCTATGATATCCACCGCTGCCTTCGGGTTCTAAGGGGGACTTCCAGGGACTGGACCTCTTGCCCTGCCCTTTGTTCATTGACCCTGTCCATCACTCCCGCACAGGGCTGCTGATTAGTCTCTGCCTCTCCCTCCTCGCACCCTCACTGTGGCAGCAGCTCTCTGGCCACAGAGAGCAACACATAACTTTCCCAGGCCTTTCTGAGGAAGGCTGTGAGAAGATCAGAGAAAAGAATGAGGAACAATTCTTATCTTCACTTGCTGCACCTGTTGTTGTGAACATGTGGAATGTGTTATGGAGATTTGTTTACCAAAGGGTGGTTTCTTAATTAGCCAATGGTGATGGTGTTTGGATTGGAGGACCAATTAGGTCCAGGTGTATCGTAACTGTCTATAAAAGCAACGGGTTTCCTAATAATTATATATATATAAAATAAAGAGATTGATCAGCCTTCTGTGAATCATGGAGTCAATGCTAATTATTACCAGTTCGGGGACGCCCTGCCGCGACACCTCGCTTTTAGTTTAAAGCCCTCCAAATGAGGTCAGCTGTCCTACTGGCAAAAATACCTTTACTCCGCTTAGTGAGGTGGAGCTCCGCTCTCCCAAGCAGTTGCTGATCCAAAAACAGGGCCCCATGCTCATCGAACCCAGAACGCTGTTGCAAGCACCAGCTCCGCAGCCAATTCAGTGCCCTTATCCTACAACACCTGGACGGCATCAAAAGCATTGCTGGTGGGTTGACCTTGGCTGGATGCCAGGTGCCCACAGAGCCACTCTATCACTCCCCCTTCTCAGCTTGACACAGAGAGAAAATAAGATGGAAAACAACTCACAGGGTGAGATAAGGCAGTTTACTAAAGGAAAAGAGAAAGTTTTCGCACAAAAAAGCAAACAGGAAAACCAAATAATTATATCCTCTAGTTCCCATCAGCAAGCACTGTCCGACCACTTTCCAAGAAGCAGGGCTTCAGCACGCGTAAGGGTTGCTCCGAAAGGCAAACGTTGTAAATAACGAATGTGCCCCCTTCCCCCTCCTTAACTTAGCTTTTATTTCTGAGCTGAAGTCATATGGTACAGCATAGCCCTCTGGCCAGTTTGGGTCACCTGGTCTAGTGGTGTCTCCTCCCAGGATCTTGCCCACCCCCAGCCTACTGATGAGGGACAGAATGTTGGAGAGACAGCGCTGATGCTGTGCCAACACTGCCCAGCAGTACCCAAAACACTGGCGTGTTATCAACACCTTTCTAGTGACCAATGCAAAGCATGGCACTGATGGCCGCTATGCGGAAAACTAACTCCATCTCAGCCACACCCAATACAATCTCCACCCCTTACTTCACACCATTTGCATCGTACTCAGATGTCACAGAATTATAGATATATATATATATATATATATATATATATATATCTGTCTTCTAATTATTCCGTTGTATTTATTTGTCATGACTGAAATCCCTTCTTACCAACGCTTACAACTTAAACTCCATGCTTAAACCATCTTTATGCCCAACACACGTATACATTTTCATTAACTACCGTCCCACTTCCTTTCAAAGATAGACATTAGTTTCCCATTCCATGGGTTTCCTCCACCCTTCCGGATGTTTAAAAACAGGCCGTGACTTGGGCTCCATTCCATCAAGATGGGTGCTCGGGACAGAAGCGACACACACGATCGTTCGGCACCGACACCGGCCCTGCCTGGGCTATCGTCGCACTCTCCTCGCCGCTCGTAAAATTCACTCATCGTCGGTTCACGTCACTCCTGCTACTTTACTCCCTGCAACATACAATTTACACTCATTATTTTCCCCCCAAGGTTAAATCTCCTTGAGGCACACACCAGGTCTCCCCGTCCTTCTGCATTGCCCACCAAGTACACCCAGGTCCCTGAGCAAAGACAATCCCATTAATAGGTTTGCCTTTTCCCATGGGAGGAGAATTCCACACCGACCTCCTTAGCCACTTCCCTGTGTGTAGTACGGGGACCTTATCTCCTCCCACAGTATGTAGTGGTTTTGTTTGGGCAGGACCAGCGCGGTTAGCAGATCTTCTGGTGTTAACCAGCCAAGTGGCTTCTGCTACATTTGCCTCCCAATGCTTCCATGCCCGATTGCCCAACCCTCTTGACAGTCCATCATACCTCTCAATCTTTCCAGAGGCTTGTGGGTGATAAGGGATGTGATATATCCACATGTTTCTTTGCCCAAGAGTTTAGGAGGTTATTTCAAAAACAAGCCTCATTGATTCCATTCTTTCTGGGGTACCATGACACCACAAAATGTGTCCCTCAAGGCCTAAGATGGTGTTTCAAGCAATAGCATGGCTTAGAGGGTATTTTTCCAGCCAACCAGTAGTTGCCTCTACCATGATGAGTATGTAAGCTCTTGCCTTGGTGTGTCCATGGCAGTGGTCCAATATAGTCAATTTGCCAGGCCTCACCATCTTTAAAATCCAGCTTGGCCATCTATTCCAAGGAGATTGTACTCGTGTGGCTCACTTGATTGCAGCACACGTTTCACATTCATGGGTGACATGTGTGATAGCCTCTGTGATCAGATCCACCCCTCGATCACAAGCTCATCTGTAGGTTGCATCTTTTCCTAGATGTCCTGATGTTTCATGGGCCCATCGGGCTGTAAATAGTTCACACTTCTGCTCCCAGTCTAAGTCTACCTGAGCTATTTCCATTTTGGCAGCCTTATCTAGCTGTTCATCCTTGCGACGTTCCTCAGTGGCATGGCATTTGGGCGCGTAAACATCTACGTGACATTCCTTCAGAGACATGATTTCTATCCGTGCAGTCATGTCCTGCCACAACGCAGCAGCCCAAATGGGTTTACCCTTGCATTGCCAATTGGTCTTCTTCCATTGCTGTAGCCACCCTCATAGGGCATTAGCCACCATCCAGGAGTCACTATAGAGACACAGTACAGGCCACTTCTCTTCTCCTTCAGCAACCTCAACGACTCGTTGTGTGGGACTCCACACAGCAGCTTTCCACCTCTGATGGTTTCTACCACGAGGCAGGATCCATCAGTAAAGACAGCATGGCCTCTTTCATCTTCTGATAACTCATTATATGGTGCTGCTTCTTGAGCACAAGTGACTTTTCAAAGAAATTCTCCAAAACCTCTGCCTTTCTCCATGGATTCTCGGGCAATTGGGTTTCCCCAGTCAAACTCGTTGTGTGATCAGTGCTACCCACCCACTTACTCCAAGTAGCACTGTTTGCACAATGTGTCAAAGGGACACTTCCTTTCAACATCTAGTGTAGCACAGGAAATTGCAGTGCCAAGAAGAGATGGGCGTCCTTCCCAAAAACATTTGAGGATGCTCAAACCCTCTCATACACTGCTAATATTTCTTTTTCAGCTGGAGTGTAGTGGGCCTTCTGATCCTCAGTAACCCCAGCTCCAAAACCCTAATGGTCAACCTCGGGTTTCTCTTGATGTTCTTTGCCACAGGCTCCAAGTGAGACCATGCTACCCAGCTGCGGTGTAGAGTATATTTTGCAGGGTTGGTCCAGTCTGAACGGGCTCAAGAGCTACCGCCCAAGCTATTTCCTCTTTGATCTGCTCAAAGGCCTGTTGTTGCTCAAGGCCCCATTCAGAATGGTTCTTCTTCCGGGTCACTCGATACAGGGGCCTCACAAGCTGAGTATAACCTGGAATAGGCATTCTCCAAAACCCCGGGCGGCCTACGAAAGCCGGTGTTTCCATCTTCTTAGCTGGTGAAGACATAGTTGCTATCTTCTTAACCACATCCATAGGCACATGACGGCGGCCATCCTGCCATTTGACGCCCAAGAACTGGATGTCCCGTACAGGTCCCTTGACCTTGCTTTTCTTTATGGCAAACCCAGCTTCCAGAACTTTCTGAACTATTCTTTTTCCCTTCTCAAACACTTCTTCTGCCTCACTGCCCCCACACAATGATGTCGTGAACGCATTGCAGGCGTTCGGGGGCATCACCCATTTCCAGTACGCTTTGGATCAGTCCATGAGAGATGGTAGGGCTGTGTTTCCACCCCCGGGGCAGTCCAGTCGATTCCTGGTGTATTGAACACCTCACCACATGAAAGCAAACTGTGGTCTGCACTCTGCTGCCAAAGGAATTGAGAAAAATGCATTGACAATGCCAAGTGCAGCACAACACCTGGCTGCTTTTGACTCCAGTTCACATTGGAGCTCTAACATGTGCGGTACAGGAGCACTCAGTGGGGGCGTTACTTCATTCAGGCCACGATGGTCTACTGTTAACCTCCACCCTCCATCAGACTTTTGCACTGGCCACGTGGGACTACTAAAAAGGTGAGTGAGTCTTGCTGATCGCTCCTTGGCTCTCCTTATTCCCCTTTTCTTTGACACTTCTGGGGGGCAATTACTGTAGTCGTTGTTGTTTGGGTCCCTATCTCAGCCATAGTGTCCTCCAATGCACTTCGGGTCCCTGCCTCAGCCACACTCCTCTGACAGTACTGAACTGTGGCTCAACAGGCATAGGCCAGGCCCCTGTACAGGGCGAGAAGCTGCTGGGTTTCATCGGGGTAGGTAAGGCACCCTTCTATCAGGTGACGCGTCAGTTTGCCAGGGCTCATTGCCTGTTTAGGTGTAAAGTCCCAGGCAAGGGGAGGTGATAACCACTCTAGGAGCCTGCCCAAATCCTACCACACACACTGACATCCAGGGACCAGCCGCTTCAGGGCACATTTCAATATCTCCTCACCTACAGTTTGTTTTGTCTTACAGCAGGATGACACCAGATTCCACAAACCCCATAGTACGCCAACAGTATTAGTTAATAGTATTAATAGTATTCAACAGCTTACATGAGGGGGAACAAGGAACACGGGAGCCTGCATTCTAAAACGATACACATCAATCCCAGATAGGGAGAGGGATTCCCGCATTGTCCCCAGAAAATAGCTCCTCCAGCACAACAAAGCCATCAGTGTCACAGCAAAGCACAGAGCCACTGTTTGTATTAACGTGTTCCCAAACTGAACAAAACAAAGAGATAAGCAGCGTACCTGACAAACTCCATGTCCCGCACAGGAACTTGCTACTCAGTAACTGCTATTACTATACCATGCAAGATATATAACTGCCATTGTCTCAGCTCACTTTAGGAACCAAAAAGGACTGGTGTGGGTTTATCTTGGCTAGACGCCAGGTGTTCAGCAAACAACTCTGTCGCTTCCCCTTCCCAGCTGGACGGGAGAGATGAAAAACAACTTGCAGATTGAGATAAGGCAGTTTACGAAAGCAAAAGTGAAAGTTTGTGCATGAACAAGGAGAGGGGAAAAAAAAGCACCTTATTGCCTAGTTTTGATCAGCAAGCACCGCCTAGCCACTTCCCGGGAAGCAGGGCTTCCGCACACGTAGCAGTTTCTCTGGAAGGTAAACACTGTAAATAAGAAATGCCCCCCTTTCCTCCTCCTTTGCCTAGCTTTTATTTCTGGGCTGATGTCATATGGTATGGAATATCCCTCTGGCCAGTTTGGGTCAGCTGACCTGGTTGTGTCTCCTCCCAGGATCTTGCCCACCCCCAGCCTATTGATGCTGGGGCAGAATGTTGGAGAGACAGCACTGATGCTGTGCCAACATTGCTCAGCAGTAGCCAAAACACTGGCGTTTCATCAACACCTTTCGAGCTACCAGTGCAAAGCACGGTGCGGGAAAATGACCGGTTACCCTGTGGACCGGTAACTGGGGATACAATTAGAGGAAACTTAGGAGTTATATTAGCATCCTCACAGGAGTTATAACAGTACGGGAATTATAGGGTAAATCACAGTTGCTGCTCCCTGGGTGGAATGCGGTTGGCATGACTTGGAACCTATTCCGTGATGATTCCCCACACACACGCACACAACACACCCGCTAAGAGGGATGGAATGGAGGGTGGAGCGGAGCGAAGGCCAGGCTCTGCAGAAATCCTTGCAGGGAAGGGAACTCGATGGTACTTTGCAGCTGATAAACAGCATACCACCTGTCAACCAAGGGAGACAGGGGAAGATGTCTTACTGCTGAGCCAGCAACTGTGGCGAAATCACTCTCCTTAGATGAACTTGCTTCATTAAAGCCTAATAATAATATTAACGCACACCTCCATCCCAAAGTTACCCACCTCCAAAGTGCAACCATCCCTCACTGGGCATGTGCTCTATATTCTTCTTGACTGTATCTTTAAAAGCAAAGCAAGAGAATTTTACACCAGTCAGTAACAAAGGTATGCATGACTAGAGTCACTCAAGCTCCACCTAAACACACAGAAATAGTATAAAAATAAGTCGAGAATGGGGAAAAGTTAGGGAAGGCTCCATCGTAGCTGCTGGGATCAGTTGATAAGCTGAACCTGTCTTCTCCCCCATAGAGATGCCTATTGGATAAGAATCATACTCTATGCATGCTGAACATTTTATTGGGGATTAGAGCTTGTCTGTATATTCCTTCAAATATATTTTTGCAGTCAGACACTATCACCAACAATCTTCGAACCTTAACCTGTCACAATTTATATTAATAAAGAGCGTTATTCCATAAACTGTTAGCGTGAATCCTTGGCGGACGCTACCAGTCGGCAGCAGCAGGTAACACAATGGGTAAAGGGGAAGACCTGCTGAGGGGTCTCCCTTACGCTGTTGGTGTGTTTCCCTAAGTCACTCAAACCCCCCTCTGATCCAGTAGGACTGCTCAGTGAAGGAGCCCCCCAATGGGATGCTGACAGACTGGTCGGGCACAACGGTCTCAACTTTCCTGAAACACAGACAAATTAACC